ATATATATATATATATATATATATATATATGACATTGTATAATTGACTAAGACAAGGTCGTCAAAACTTGTACTTGGAACATTTCAGAACAAAATCTACGACACTCCCCAGGGTGATTTCATGAAATTATTGCTCAAATGTGGCTTGATATATTCTACAAATATGCACTCTAAGATTTGTCTCTTGCATGTAATAAAAATCTGGGTCAGATCTGCCTAATTGCATTTATGTGCATGTAGCGTCCCAGCTGAAGGGTTGGAAATTGGGTAGTTGAATAAACAGTGGGTGTGCTTATTTAATCAGACAGCCTGGGAGCAGCCCTGCTCCTGCACAAAAAGGCAGCGGAGCGGGGAGGGATCTCCACTCCCATTGTTAACCTTCCCTCCAGACACAGCGTGGTTTCTGAAGAACTTGTTCATTTGGAATAGCGCCATATGCTGTCCACGTGCAGAGCGGGTGCCGGGACGCTCCCTCAAAGTGATCAATGTAGCAAGAAATATCCGGCCTGACAACCGTGCAGATTGTGTGAAAAGCGTTTCTTTTTTTTCCGCCACGAGTGCACGGTGTGAGTACCAGAACTAGTACAGGTTCCCTCGCTGGGAAACAGTGTCTGAATTATTGAACAATTTCTCCCTGGTCCACTTTCCTGTAAACGCTTTCAATTATGGATTGCTTTTATGCACACATGCTTTTAATGATTAGCTTGTTCTCCGAAAATCCCGGCACTGAAAAATTTATCAATTTCTATCAGATTAGGTCTCCCATCTAAATCAAAGCTGCCTCTTTTCCTATGCAAATTAACATAAAAATTGGGTTTCCATTTTCCTAAATTACATTAACATTCCGTGAGATAAGAGGATTCCCCAATCGTTCCATCAGAAAAACTATTTCTTGGATCTAGCGGTTGGTAGTTAGTTAGGAAAAAAATAGTCCAGAATGGTTCTATTAGGTGGGCGGGGGAGCACTGACGATGAAAGAAAAACAGTTTAGGTAAATGCTGTCCCTGTAAAGAAATTGTGTACAGATAGTGCCAAGTCTTAACACAGGGTGCTGATTAGATGCAATTATAATGTTTCTGTTGGCAGACATCCAAAAGCAAAAGTGTGAACCTGAGTCATCTCTACAATTAAAACATGACAAACTGAAATATACCGGGATGGAGAAAAAAAAGATGGCTCCGCCACCATCCCCACACAGAGATCACCTACCAGACACGGGCTAATTAATTCTGCATCGATTTCAATTTACCCCAATAATGAAGACTCCAAATCCACCCCAGTATTTGTAGAACTAATTACAGCGCCTCTGGGAAATGGGGGGAAATCTGTGGATGTGGCCTGGGGGAATGTCTCCAGGAATCAATAAAGCCACAAACATGGCCAGGGATGACCCTGTACTGTTAGTCTTACTGTGTTCTCCTGAGGGGAGAAACTCTGGGGAGAGGACACTGTAACATTTAGCATCACTGCACAGCAGCACAACGGTATTAAACTGTTAATATATGTATTGCAGTTAACCTGAGTGTTGAAGACATAAAATCAGCACTAATACCATACATCCACAGTTCATAGATATGAGACAACAAAGGAGTATATACACGGGCCAAATTAGTCCTAAATGGTAACCACAAAATTTTCATGAACAGAGTTTGACAGACTATTCCCACAACATTCGTGCAACAAAAAGACAAGCCAGTAGATGTTTTTGGATTAATACGTTATGACAAGTGAGACAATGTACTTTCAACCACACATGCAAACTCCAAGAGGTACTTTTATGGGTCAAATATGCAAATTAACCAACACTTAAGCATGGTTCGTTGCACATGCGTTTAATGACACCTGACCTCACAGAAGGCCCCTTAAGTTAAGATGTTCGTATTATCAAGGAGTTTCCAGTTTGAAGCTCCCTGGTATCATCAACAACTCTGGATTTAACTTGACTTATTTGTATTTTATGATGCAATTTTATTACACAGTAAAAGTATGAACTTCCACCATAAAACATGGAAAATCTCAACACGCAGATTCAGATCTTTTGGAGGAAAGTCCATAAATTTCCCACCACCTGGGGTTAAGTTAACTTTTTTCCCAAACTCTGCTAGGGCCACAGAGGGTAAATTCTATGGATGACACCCACATATGCACTGTACATGTCATGCATTGATTTTCACAAAGGGATATTGGCAGACTGCCATACCTTATTTTGCTGTCCCTAAAGGTGGATTTGCAGTGAAAAAAAACTAACTATATTCATGTATATATGTATTACCAGACTTTTCTGTACTTTTATTCAAGGACATAATACAGGGACCATATATAATGTCCTTGTTTTATTTCCATCCATCCATCTCTGTACTTGGCATCCCCCAGTCTCTCCATCCCAGGTGTCAGGCACTTCACACCTGACAATGACTGATGTGGCCACAGAGCGCCACTATTATTTACATTGGTCCACTTGCAGTGTTAATTACACCATTTAGGGACAACTCCGGGCCTCACATGGGAACCTGACGGCTCAACGCTGCAGCTATATGGGGGCAATATAAAACATGCTTTCTACTGTTGCTGGGAGAGCTGGGAGCCCTGCTAGGTGGAAACAGTAGGAAATGACGAGCAAAGAGACCGTAAACCTGGCAGCTGTCCTCCGGGAGGGTATGTTAGCCAGGAAATGATACATAATAATAGTACCAGATAGGGATTACAAAATGTACAGGGACACTATATTTTTTACTATATTGGAAACATGGAGATAGTTGGGATAAGGATAAAGATGTCAGCGTTCTTTAGAGGTTACTGACATGTTGTCATCCCTCCCCATCAAAATTTTACATTTGAATAGAGTTTATCTTGAATCAAAAATTTTGCCACTGTGTCTACTATTAACACAATCAAATCCAAATCAATAGAATTTCACAAAGTTTTTATGTACAATTTTGTCTCACGGACAAGAGTTTGATCAGGGGAAAGGCTTGCAAGTACAATGTAGCTTCCATGCTGGTTGGTTGAACAATCACGTGACTGTAAAATTAATACATTAAACACATTGAAATTTACCTGGCAACGTCAAGGTTTAACCATCCAACATGGCCAATACATTGTACTTACCAGTATGACATACTATGTACGGATGTCA